TATTGGTACGTTATTATTAACTGAACTTAATACTTCATTCAGTTGTCCTGGATCTCTCTATAATGTTCTTTTTCTGTTCCGGGATCTCATCCAAATAACACATTACTTCCAGGACTCAGAAAGTTTCTCAGATTTCCTTTGTGTTTTGTTTTTTAATTTTATTTTTCAGTGACAATTTGCATTCAGTATTATTAGATTTTAATTTTGATGCCCTGACAGCTTTGGTGATTACTAGGCAGGTATTTTGTAGAATGTCCCTCAATGGGGATTTTAATGATTTGTAATGCACATATTACAAAATCTGCGGTCTTAAAATGGCACAATCCAGTGCTTTTAAGTACACTCACAATGATTCACAGCCATCCCTACATTTAAAAAACTACTTTTTTTTTTATTTATATATAGAAAGAAGTGGAGAGGGAGACAGAGAAACATCAGTCAGAGAACATCGATTGGCTGCCCCCTACATGCTTCCCACAGGAGATTTGGCCCACAACCTGGGCATGTGCCCTGACTAGGAACCGAACCAGTGACCTCTTGGTGCATGGGTTGATGCTCAACTACTGAGCCACACCAGCCAGGTGCCATTCCTACATTTTTGTTATCCTTAAAGAAACCCCAGAGCCCTGGCCGGTGTTGCTCAGCAGTTAGAGCATCGGCCTGCGGTCTGGAGAGACATGGATTTGGTTCCCGCTAAGGGCACATACCTCGGTTGCAGATTGTCCCTGGCCCTGGTTGAGTCGTGTGGGTGGCAACTACTAGATGTGTCCCTTTCACGTCCGTGTGTGTGTGTCTCTCTCTCCCTCCCGCTCTATTTGAACAAAATATAGAAAAATGTCCTCAGGTGAGGATTAAAAAAAAAAAGAAACCCCAGAACAGAACCATTACCTTCCATTCCCCATTCATCCCTCCCTCATAACCCAATAATCACTAATCAGCTTTCTGTCTCCATGGATTTGCCTGTTTTGAACATTTCGTGTGCATTGATTCAATCAAAATGTGATCTTTGTGTTTGATTCTTTCATGTTGCATAACATTTTCATGGTTCATTCATTCTGTAGCATGAATGTATACTTCATTGCTTTTTATGACCAAATGATATTTCATTTTATAGATATGCCATAGCACATAATTTGTTTATCTGTTCATCAGTTGATAGACATTTGAGTTGTTTTGACTTTTTGAGGATTATAATAAGGCTGCTGTAAAAGCTCATGTGGATGTTTTTGTGTAGATATATTTTTATTTGGGGGGGTTATATACGTAAAAGTAGCATTGTGGTTCATACAGTAACTTTATGGTTAAATTTTCAGGTTCTGTTGTAACCCAGGAGAGTCATCCTCACTCAGACGTCAAGTAATTTTGAATATTAGGAGCTTTATTACCTGCTCAGGGACTGCAGCCAACCTACACAGAGGAGAACTGCAGCCCCGAGCTCAGGGGGAGGGTTGCTTATATAGGACAGGAGTTACTCAAGAGTTTAGCAGAGCAAGCAAGCTACGTGTACAGAAGCAGATATCAGCAGTTAGTAACTGCACAAGTTGTTTATTTTATATTTCTTAACATTTACTAGACCTTAGCCTTGAATGTCTCATTGCCCCGTCTGGCATCTCCTGATTAGTTAAGCTCATGGTTAATACCCTTGTGGTCATGGCTGATGCATACCTTCCTCTTCAAGAATTTTTGCAAAAACAACTCGGGCTCAAGGAACCCAGGAGAGGTTCCTTCTTCTAGCAGATGGAGAATTACTGGGTTATAACAGTTCTCCCAAATTCTTTTCCAAAGTGGCTGCACTATTTTTCATTCCTGTCAGCAGTGTATGAGGTTCCAATATTTCCATACCCTTCAGAAGACTTACTATCTTTTTAATTATAATTCCCCTAGTGAGTATATATAAATCGGCATCTCATTGAACTATTACTTTGCATTTTCCTTATGACTAATGGTGTGGATCATCTTGTCATGTGCTGATTGGCCATCTATTTATCCATTTATTCATGACTTATCCATTCAAATCCTTTGCCCATTTTTAATTTATTTTTATTTTTGTGTTGTAGGATCCCTTTACCAGCAGTATGAGTTGCAAATATTTTCTGCCATTTTGTTGGTTGTCTTTTCATTTGCTTAATAGTGTGCTTTGAAGCCAAATCTTTCATGTGATTGTGATGAAGTCTGATCTTTTTTGTTTGTTTGGGTTGCTTGTACTTGAGGTCGTATCTAAGAAACCATTAAGTCAAGGTCACACAGATTTATACGTATGTTTTCTTCTAAGACATTTATATTTTAATGTCTTACACTTACGTGTTTGATCCATTTTGATTTAATTTTTGTATATGATATGATGTAGAAGTTCAGATCAGTTTATGCAGGTTCTCCAGCTTCAGTTGCCTAAAGAATAGTTTTATTCCAAATTTGATGTCATTTAAACTGACATCCTTGAGTGTGTGACTCAGGGATAAGTCTAGACTTTGGAAAAAAATGGGTTTATTGGGAGACACCTCGGCATCTAAGAGCAGAGCCCTAATAGCAAAGTTTACTGGTGAAATCTCCTTTTCTGTTTATTTTTTATTTTATCCTCACCCAAGGACATTTTTGCATTTATCTTCAGATAGATAGATAGATAGATAGATAGATAGATAGATAAATAGAAAGAAACATCGACGTGAGAGAGACACATTGAGTGGTTGCCACCCACACGACCCCAACCAGGACCAGGGACAAACTGCCCTTAGTGGGAACCGAACTCGGGACTCTCTGGTCCATGGGCCAACACTTTAACTGCTGAGCTAAACCAACAAGGGCTCTTTTTCTGTATATTCCCTTCCTAATTATAGGATATACCCAATCTGGTTTATAAAATGACAAATTTTCCTACATAAGTAGATGAGTGAGCCATAGCAGCAGCTCTCTTTGGATTGTCTGAGGCTTGGGGAGCCCTTCATGCTGTCTCTGGAATCCAAAGTCAGCTTCTCAGAGTTGTAGAGCTGCCGGGAAATTATGAGCAGAGTGGTCAGAGTTGTCGAAAGGAGCAGCCTACACAGGGTTGGAGATGGGTCCAGAAACTAGACAACCAGGTACATTAGAGTTAAAATTAAGTCTAATTTTGTCTTGTCTTAATAATACTTATTGTTTCATTCTAAAAGTATTTAGTGATCACTGAAAAAAAAGTATAAACAGTGAAAAGTAAAAGACAACCCCCCAATTAACCAAATTGTCTTAACCAAGAGGAGCCTAAGGAAACATAACTACTGAACACAATATGTGTGTAATTTTGCAACAGGAAAGCGATGTTTAGATTAAAACAGGAAATCTAAATAAGGTCTGGACTTTAGTTTAACAACAACAAAATATATATACAATTCACAATTTCCACTCCCTGGGAGAGAGGTACCATTTCCAGGTGGAAGCACCTCTAATATTTGGTACAATTCTTTCATAGAACTTTTGGTCTATATCAGACCCTGTTCTAAATATGTATGGTAACTCATTTAATTATCCAGTCATTGAATAAGAGAAATAAAATTCTGCTGTACATTAGGAGACTAAGGCACAGAAAGTTAACCTGCCCCAGGTTATATTGCTGTCAAAGCTAGAATTTGAATCCACTGAGTCTGAGTCCAAAGGCATATTTTTCATCACTAGGCTAGAGTAGTGTTTGTTCTTTCAGTGTGCATGCCAACATGTTTTCATAACATGTCCACATACAGTTTTACATTGTATTTTCCTATTTACTCCTGTGATCAGAGTGGATTTTCTGTGCGTAGGGGATTAACTCAAAAGTAGTCAATATGCCAGAGCGCCCTGTTTTCCGAGTGGCTTGTTCTAAACTCCTCCTATGGTACTTCCCATAAATCTGTAAGAATGAACTATTAGAAACCGGCATTTTTGTAGTCAGAAACTGTTCAACATTGATCATTCACATGGTTCAGCCTAATAGTTCATTCTTTACATCAGCTGTATTATATTTTACTGTTTATATAGAATTTATTTAGCCTAACCATCTTCCACGAGGCACATTACATAGTTTCCAACATTTCACTCTTACGGAGGTCTGCATTGATATCTCTTCACCCTTGCTTGACTCATTGGAGGCCCAGCACTAGTTTAGGGGGATGGGGAATGGATCTGAGCCATTCACTCACCATTAATCTACCTCCACCTCAGTTCTTTGAAATGGACAGTTGAGAAAAGGGCAAAGATATGCAAAACACTATGCAGATGACACTGCGGGATTGGGTCCTTAGATTACCCTTCTCAGTTTTGTCTTTTTTCATGCTCTATACAAATGCAGAAATTGTGGAGTTACCAAAGTGTACCTTACTCTGTAGAGGGTATTTTTAGGGAAAAAAATACTTGTTCATTATTGTTGTATGAAAAGTGCTATTTATCCCAGTCCAGATATCATTGATTATTGGTAAAGATGTACATGTATTCAAGTAAAGGCTCTCGTTTTATGTAGGGATCCAAGTTTGTTTTTTTTTTAAAAAACAAGAAATGAATACAGTTGCCTATTTACTGATCTATTCATTCTGTATTGGAGTGTTTAATTACATTGATTGTCCTGGCATAGGTTTCACAAGTAAAAAATGTAGAAAGTAGGGAAAGTGGGGGGAAAGTCCCATCAGATTTGAACAACGCAGTATCTTTTCAGTTAGATTTGCATCGATGTGGTTTTGCATCCGTGTTACTGTGTTCAAACCTGCAGCCCTGGCAGGCCTATAGGAAGACAGGGTGCGTGACTGTGAATCAGGGTTGCCTGCAAATGTTTGCTGGGAAGCAAGAATGAGTCCCTGAACGTTTTACACGCACTTTAAAATAGGGCGACGTTGCCATTAACCCGGGGCGCCGTGAGGACTGGCACAGAGCATGTCCCCGTTATCCCAGCTGGGAAGGCGCAGGCGCCCCGCACTGCGGCAGGAACGCGGCACTGCGGCAAGATGCCGCGCATGCGCGGAGGCCGGAGGCGCGGGATGTGGTGCATGCGCGGACGGAACCAGTGCGACTGGTGGGCACTGCGGCTGCGAGCGCGGTGCAGAGTCGAGTGGCCGCCGGCGATGCCAGACGTGGGGACCTGAGGGGCGGCCAGCGGCGCGATGGAGCGGGCCAGGTCAGCCGTGCGGCATCTTCCTCCGGGGTGCGCAGGGAGCAGCCGTTTAGGTGTGGTGCGCCACGGCTGCAGAACCCAGAGACCGCCGTGGACGTGGGAAACCCACGACCTGAGGGCCTTGATTGCGGAGGAGCGCGTGGTGGGACCCTTTGGAGCGCTGGGCTGGGTTGCGCGTTCTCGGACGGCACCCCAGGCTCCACGTCCTGATGTCTCCCCAAGGGTCTTTTCCAAGGCGGCCTTTGTCCTCGAGGCCATGGTGGGGGAGACTGGTGGCCGAGCGGCGGGTGGGGGCGGGGCGGGGAAGGGGCGGGGAAGGGGCTGGGGAGTGGGGTGACCATGGTGGTGTGAGGGGGCGGAGCGTGGGTGTTAACAATGGTCGTGGTCGACAGGGGCACCGCGCCAGTGGTTTGGCGGTCAGGGGACCGCGGTGACCGAGGTGGGAGCAGGAAGCGGGCTGCAGCGCAGGTGGCGGCTTTGGGGCCGGGGTAGCGTGGGGGTTGTGGGTGTGCGGGGGTTGTGCGTGTGCGGTCGGGGGAGCCCATGGGCGTGGTGGTTTGCTGAGGGAGCAGCGGAGCGAGCCGAGCGCGCATCCGTGGCGGATTCAGCCGTGGTGTGGGGACCGTGACCTGAGTGAGCACAAAGCAGGTCCGGGGGTCGGGGTGGGGGACAGTCGAGACTTTGCGTGTTGTGGCGGTTCTGGGCGCCTTTCTCCGCTGAAGGGATGGCGGGGAGAGGGTAGAAAGGTCCCCGTGCTTGTGTTTGGCTCCTGGACCCTTCCTGCGGCGTGAGGCCGGGGACGCGGAGTGTGGAACTGGCTGTGCGAGTCGTGAGGGGTGCCCAGCGGCGGATGCGGCGCCACGGAGCGCGCCTTGGCCAGGCCGGCCTTTGGGCGTGGGGAGGCGGCCGAGGCGCACCCTGGCTTTTGTGCGGCGCCCCCAAGATGGCGGCTGCCGCAGAGGTGCGGGGCACGCAGGCGCTGTGGGTACCTCGGGAGGGGACCGCCGCCCCTCGCAGCCCTGCCGCAGTGGGGGAGGGGCGGCGCCGCGGCGGGAACCTGCAGCTGCACCGCCCCTCGCGCAGTGCGGAGCGGAGGGGGCGGGCCAGCGGGGGCGGCTGACCCCTCCCAAAAGTGCCGCAGTGGCAGAGGCTGCGGGGTGCGCAGGCGCCTGGGGCCCCAGGGGGGGCGAGCTGCAGGGCAGGAGGTTTGTGTGGTCACTGCCTGCACGGTTGCCTCTCCCTGCTTCGCAGTGGCGGTGGGAGGAGGGGAGAGCAGGACAGCCATGCGATGGTCGAGCCTTTGCCGCGTGGCCGCCCCTTTCCCACTGCCGCAGTGCGGGGAGGAGGTGAGGAGTCGGGTTTGCATTCCGAGCCAGCTTGGAAGGGCGGCTTGAACGGCGAGGTGAGGGCCGGGAGGCCCAGGAAGGTAAGGCAGCCTCCGTCCTTGGTGCAGCGGGTTTTAAATGTTTTCAGACACCCCATAAAGGCCGCCTTTTGAATTGCGTTTTATGTTGTGCTGGGTTTGCACAAGGAGCAGTCTCATTGTTCTCGACAATCAAAGTGGATTCAGTGATCCCTCATACCAGGGCCCTTCCTTGGAACCGTTATTCCCACTTTGCGGATTTGTAATTCCACAATTGTGTCACCTTGACGAGCCTCTCTCATTTCTTAATCGTTGGATGTTCTTATGACGTCACCTTTATGGACCGTTTTATTAAACCGGGTTTATTAAATAGGAATCCGGGCTCAAGGACAACAGCAGAGGAGAGACTAAAAAGTAGAGAGAATGTTACAGGTCTGTTGGGTGGGTGTACATGGGATTTTTTAAATTACTGCTTTTGGTCATTCGTTTTCGAAGTTGGAGGCACTATGAAAACTTGATGCGAAAGACTATTGAACAAAGCAACTTGTGTATTCTGCTTTGACTTGGGTGGGAATGTTTAAGGGTTTTATTTTTTCTAACAGAATTTTGATGTTCCTGCCTTTTTTTTTTTCCCCTTGTCTCCTCCGTCATACCCAGTAAGTCTGGCTGTGCCAAGTTGGAATGTAGTTACGAAAACATAAACCCCAAAGCATGAAAACCTTTGTTCTAGAGTGGTTTTCCAGAAGTGTGTCTGGAACCTCGTGATACCGACGATGTGCGCTATTGTCTGTCTGGACGAGGACCCTGCTTCCACACGGGGTGCCTGCTGACCACGTGGCCCTGGAGGACAAGGGAGGGAGCCTGGTCCGCCATCTTGCAGCCTTGAGCGAGGCCCAGGCACCGCGTGGTGGGGCCTGGAGGCCGAGCTGGCTGCGGGCCAGGGCTTTGTACAGGGGCGGCAGGACCCCTCCGGTGCTTCACCAGAAGCAGAGCACGTGAGGGACTCCAGGATTGCGGTTTAAGGAAGACATTGCCTGGTTTCTGCAGTTTGTCGCGCGTCGGCGCGGGCTTTGGCGCCAGCCCGCTTTGTTCGCGCCACGGCCGCCCTTTGTCTGCAGCAGCGCGTGGCGCCCAGGACGCCCTGCGCCCGCGGGTCTGTTCTCGAACGGACTGATCTCGTGTTTGTGGGGAAATCTGCCGACTGGGAGTGGTTCCCTGTCCTTGTTTTCATTTTAAATGTTCATTTTTGAGAGTTTAGTAGTCAAAAACTTCATTTAAAGGATTTTTAAAGTTTGGTACTATAGGAGAATTAGGAGAACCGATGTGAGATCTTACCACTTTGCGGTTCAGTGTATTGCCAGATAAAGTTTTCAAAATTGATTTTTGAAACGCTAGCATTTTTTCCTCTTAAATGCATAATTTTCTGAAATGTTAGTTTCTGGGTAGGGAATGCAGCTAAGGAAGATTATAAAACGCCTGTGTGTGTCCTTAGAACGTGTTTCAGGATCGCCAAATTGATACGTGTCGATGTGCAGGTGGGGTTGGCAAACGTTGGCTTACAGTTGCGCGCACACGAAGGTTTAGTCTTGTATTCAATTATTAATTTGTATTCTGACTGTAAACGTACTCTTGTCCACCCTGTATTATGAAACGTGTGTGAATCAGCCCCTGATGGCAGAGGACATCCCGTCGTGTGGAGGTGCCGCACCCCGCTCTGCTGGGGCGTCGTTGCCTCCCCTCGGCATCTGCACTTGGGGGCCATGGTGGGCAACGCTGCGCGGCCCTTCGCGCGCGCGCTGTGGTTTCCACGCTGCGTGTTGAGCGGACCAATGAACGTCGCGGGGAGAGCGGGAGGCGGCCTCCGCCCGCGGGCGCTTCCACTTCCGCCGCCTGAGGTGTGAAGTGGTTGGTTCCGTCTTCGATTTGCATTTTCCGATGAGGGTGCTGTGCTCCTTTTTGTGCTGATCGAAATTTGTACAGTTTCTAGGAAGAGTCTGCACGGCCTTTACCCTTTTTATATTGAGTTTTATGTTTTTACTGAGTTGTAGGAGTACTTGACAAGCTGGATGCCAGGTTTTCATCGGCTGTGTTGCTAGTGGTCACTCCCGTTCTGCTGGTCGCTCTGTCACTGTATTAACAGTGTTCTCCGAAGCAAAGGCTTTTTTTTTCTTTTGGTGAAGTCCAGTTAACGAATTTAATTCAACTTAGGAGATTCAGGTATATATAAGGAGGAATCATTTCTTACAAGATGTGATACACATATGTAACGTTTAAAAATGATCTTGGCTTTTCTTTGACCACAACGTGAAAGCTTTGAGTTTTGGAGGGATAAGGGCGAACGCTTTGTCTGGTTTGCTTTGCCTAAGCTAACAAGAACTTAAAACGCCAGGGCTCGCGGAATTGGGAGTCGGCTGCTTTTGAATTTCGCAAAGTGCTGTCGGTCCGCGCTGGCTGACGGGGCATCGTTCAGGTTCCGGGCGGACGAGCGGAGCCTGGGCCCCAGGCAGGGCCACGTGGCAGGTCTGGCGCCAGGCGCTGGGCGGCCATTTTGTGAGCGCGCTGCGGGCCTAACATGGCGGCCGCGGCCGGCCTGCGCTGCGCCTTTGTCCGCCTTTGTTTCGCGGGTCCTGAGACCGCGTTTGCAGGGGGAGAGTCTAAGTGGACGTTTGTCATTTACAGTTCATGCATTTTCTACTGTACATCAGGATATGTGTAAGGAAAGTGTTTTCGAGTCAAATTGGCTATTTTTTTCTGGTGCTTAAGACGAGAATTTGTTCTTTTTGCTGAATTTTGGTATTTTCCCCTAGGTTTTCGGATGTAAAGGGACTTCCAACAGGAAAAAAAGTGGGTTGTTAGGATAGGATCTGACTATAGGACAAGACCTGCTGATGTTTAACGTGCCTTGTTTCCCCGTTTTATTGCGATGTACGTGACATGTACCCTGTACTTTGTTACGTGAGATCGTGGACACTGATCACTCCACGCTGCGTGATACCGTAGGTACGTGGTTTTCATAAGCTTTTGCATTAAATACCTCTCTCTGCCCCAGGGACCGCTTGCACTTGAGACGGACCACGGAGCAGCACGTGCCCGAGGTGGAAGTGCAGGTGAAGCGCAGGAGGACGGCCTCCCTGAGCAACCGCGAGTGAGTGCGCGGGCGCTGCACCCGCGATTCTCTTTGATTACGGCTCCTAAGAACATTTGATAAGATGTGTGTTCTTTTTCCATACATGGGTTAGGTGGGTCATATCTTTATAAAATTTTGTTTTTCAATTTACATTGAAATTATATGCTTTATTATTTATGGTAAATAAGTTTTCCTTTGCTTGTAGGATGTCCTGTACATTGAAGGGATGTTGTGGATTCTTGCCTTGCTCTGCAATGTTTACATTTTTGCTTTTGTTTAGTGCCTTTATCCAGTTAAAATTTGAAACATACATTTTTTTCTGTTTAGGATATATACGGTTGTTACATACATTATTACATTTAGGATTTTAGAAGAGATTTTAATTAAAAACTAATTTCCTGAACATGTTTTTAATGACCTGATACATATTGAGTATACATTGAATCTTCAGTCTACTCCTCTGTCCCCAGAAACAATGCTCAGGCCCCTGGATCCCGGCTGGTTCTTTCACAAGGACCCTCTCCTGTGCATCCTTAGAGCCTTGCTGCACCTGCACCACTCACACCCCAGCACAGCAGGGGCGGGGTGTTGGTGATTTGTATATGTACAGGAGATTTCTTCTGCAACTCTGCTTTGGGTTCTACAGTGTCAGTGCATGGAAAACCCCTTATTTTAAAAATCATAGAGTATGGGTGGTGGAATGACTTCAGTCGTATCATCAGCTTTAGTTTTATTTCTTAGCTTATCGACAATCTGAAACTTTGTTAGTAACGTATTTGCATTTTAGTCCCTAAAATCTAAAAGCATTTTAAAGAATTATAAAAAAACGCTGTTTTATTTTTGTTACTAGATCATTATATGAAGACTTAAAATATATTTGCATGTTTTAAATATTTGGTAAGGCTAAAGATTTCCAAGTTGTTCCATGATTGCCTTAGTTGTGTTTAATATTTTTTCTTTTACTATATTTTAATATTAGAAATTACTTTCAAAAGGAGTATTTTACAAATTGTATTTGCCTATTTTCTTTATATGGTAATGTCTTTTTTCCTCTGTAACCTTTTGTGACTTCAGAGATTTTAAAAGTGCCACATGCCCACCTACCTGGTGTGGTTCAGTCTGTTGAGCCTCATCACAAGGATGGAGAGGTCCCTGTGCCAATTCCCAGTAAGGTCACAGATTGTGGGCTCCATTCCCCAGTATGGGGCATGCAGGAGGCAGCTGATAAATGTTTTTCACCCTTCCTCACAAAATCAATAACTATTTAAATCACCCCAAATCTCTGGAGATAACTTTGAGATAGTTACTGTGGAAGAGGTATTGGGGGTAATGTCTCTTGGGGGCAACTTTGTGAATGGATGAAGATTCTGTCCCATTTGATACATTTTGTTACAGCCATTGATCCTAGGCCATGTCATTGTGGACAGATGATTTAATCTTGCCTCTTATGTGTAGCCTACTTGTCCAATGACTAAACGAGGCTCCCTTTAAATGTAGGGTATCTAATTGTTCTCTCATTATTAGCGACACAGGTCACTGTCTCTTCCTTGATACCTGCTCTCCTCTTGTCGCAGGTGTCAGCAGTACGCGAGGCGGTCTCAGCAGCAGCACGTACCTGTGGTGGACTTCCAGGCGGAGCTGAGGCAGGCTTTCCTAGCTGAGACTCCAAGAGGGGGCTAAGGCCGTCTTGGAACGTCCCAGGTAGCCGAGGCCAATAAAAACCAGGTTTGAGCTGATCAAGTCATGGTCAGGAATAAAGATGTCCTTCAAGAATAGGGTGTTTGGAGGTCACTTAACTATGTAGGATACATTCATTTTTTTCTATAAAAGCTTCATAAAATAAGTAATTTTCAGGAAACTTCAAGTGAAAGCAGGACATTAGTGTTCTTGCACTGACATTCTTGTGTTCCTGTCCATTTTGTCGTGATGCATGCTTTTTTAGGTAGTTTTCATATTTAATATGTATTGATTTTCAACTTAACGTTATATGAAAAAAGTCATTATAAATGGCTGCTGAATATCTTGCTAATGAATGTTTTAGAATTATTTTTTGAGAGACTTGATATTATTTTCTACTAATAGCTTGATTATCATTAAGTAAATTGTTTTGCACAAAACAGGATCATTTCAGATAGATACACAGATGTGCACATAAATTGAACCAAGAAATATTTTCCAAATTATATACAAAATATATTGGTCTTCACTGCTGTGAAAAAATGGAGTACAAGTTACAATGCACTTTTGAACTGCATCAGTTATTCTAACTTATGCTCTCCGAATTACAAGTACACATCACATTCATTAGCAAGTAAAAAGCTAAATATTATTCCATGCTTATTTACTTCTTTTTTGATTTGCATTTTTCTCACTTTTTTGTTTTAACCAATGTATTTCAATCAGGTGACAATGTAATAAAGACATTATCTATGATTTTCAATGTGCTGTCGATTTATTTGCAGTCTGTTTATGTTGATTGCTTGCATTTTAAAGGAAAAGCCATTCATATTTTTAATTCTGATTTAATTCTTTGTTTTTTCTTTGTGACTTTAAATTTTAAGATTGAAATGACTTCAATGCAAAGAGTTTAATATGTTTTTTAGAAAATGAGACAGGTGAAAGGGGGTTTACAGGTGAGTTACCATCTAGATTTTATTTCTTTAAATATTATTCCTCAAGTCAAATTGATTAGTCCTGTTCATGGTCACGATTTCAAGTTTTGAAGCAAAAAAGTTTTTAGGAAAACCATCTCCTGTTAAATTCTTTACCCAGCATTCTCTGATTGCCTGAACTTAATCATAAGACAGTGGAATTAATTTTAGACAATGGAATCTGATCATTGTTTCTATCTCCAGAGAAAGGGCGTTCTTAAATGCCTAAGTGTATACAATTGTGTGTGTGTTGTATTCCTCGCTCGGACACTTACTAATTATCATCAAATAGAGGAAGAGAGAGAGAGAGAGACAGAGAGAAACATTGATGTGATAGTCACATCAACTGGTTGCTGCCCTCATGACCCGACCAGAGCTGGGGACTAATTGCAACCGAGGTATCTGCCCTTGCCCAGAATCAACCTACTCATTGGTCCGTGGCTGACACACTAACCTATGAGCCAAACAGGTTAGGGCCACATATGTGTTTTTTAAAAAAAGTTTTTTGGCTCTTCTGTGCAGGTCATACACTCATAAGTTCCTAAGTATACGATTTAAAATCATGTCTTATAATCTGCACACAGGACTCTCTTAATTCTCTGATTCTCAAATTCTACCTTTATCTAAACATTACTGGTGCTGAGATTTAGGACAGGAGTGGTAAAGAATCAAAGTTCCTGGTGGGCAACCACACCCATGAATTTGCATGTGGTCTGTGGGTGCACTGGCTCTGCAAGTGCAGGTTGAAGGGCAGAAAGAATCTACGTGTCACCTTGTGAAAGGACATACTGATCTCTGTTCAGGAAACCACCTGCAAACATGACACCACCAGGTGGAACCTGTGTGTGTAGTGGGTAATGCAGCAGGTGCTCAAGAAATGGGTTAGAGAAGGAGCAGGTAGGAAAGAGGCATTGCAGGGGAGAGGACCTGGGAGTGTTGGTGTGAGAGGGACAGGTCCAAGATTCATGTTAAAGGCAAGTGTGGGTACTTTTTAAAGAAATGCTAACAATTGATGTTTTCTTTTTTTTTGTTATTAATCTAAAGCATATGAGTGGTACCCAATAAGATGGAAAAATAAACCAAAAACTTTTTATGCCCATGTTTCAACCATAGCATGAGGTTGAAATTTATTTTTCCCATTTGCTCTGGAATCTTGCTTTTAAACTATTTTTATTTATTTAAATGTATATCATTAATGTTCATTTTATTACATGGTCATAATTATCATTTATAATGAATAAATGATAGTTCCTTTATGATTTACATTTCTCATGTATTTGTGTTTTTTTCCCCCCTAGTTTGTTATTCTGTGAATAAAATCAGTTCTATATTTTTAAGGTAGATTTAGCACCTTAAATTAAGGTTAGGGTCCATTTGTGCTCTGAAGGGCATGAATATTAGCAGGGCATAAACGTTTGTTACATGACTTTCTGACAGCATCCTAAGCCCTGCTGACTGCCGTCAGAAATTACTGGAGTGCTACTTTGTCACCACCACCTTAGGATATTGATTAATAAGATTTTTGATGAAGAACGAGATCCAAAAAAAGGAAAAGTTTTGTAGTTTTACCTGGCATTCATTTGTGAGCAGTATTTTCCATTTATTTTTTTCTCCTGTTACTTGTTAAAGTCTTGCACATTTTTGGTGAAGGGTCTCTTGTACTAGGTTAGGGTGAGCCACTCTTACTACCATTATTCCATATGCTGTCTCCTGAGTTATGTGTCATGGCCAAACCTCTGACCTAGTTCTTTCAGCTTAAAGAAGCATTATCATGCATTTTAATCATTTGAAAGAGTTTTGAGAAATTCTGTAAGGGGATCCCTGGGACTTTTGAGGCAGGGACATGGGATCATCAATTTGCTGTGTGCCTCTGATGGAACGGTATCTAGTGGAAGTACTGAGGTATCAGTGTGATGTCATCGCTCCTCTTGTCCTTTTTTTCCAGGAGCGTTTTGTTCTCTGTTGAGGTCGAGTCGATCATTCTCCATAGTGATGTCTTTTACATGGGTGTTATATTACGGTGAGCTAAAATTTAGAGACAAGAGAGAATGATTCCTAAATTTTAAGTCTGTTTCATTAAGGAGAAATGGAAATGGCAAAGGACGTACACACAGGCTCTGCTTTCTAGAGAATCCTGCCCTTGAATGGACTCATCGACGTTTGTGTCAGTAACTTGCATTTATTTTGGGCTTCAGCTTGCTGATTGGACTGGGTCATCACATGATTTAACTTTGAACAGATTCTGGGTATCAGATGTGCATCTCTTAAGACATACATTTGAATAGGTGGGAGAAGAGATGGTGGAGAGACCCTGGTATGACGTGGTCTTAGCACAGGGTGGGGGAATACAGGACAGGGACCTGCAGGAAATGCTTCTGAGGAATCTGACAGAGTAAAGGTGGGGGAAATAGTCTAAGGAATTAATTTTTTAGACTATGTTTACCAGACTTTGTTTATGATACTGGGATACTTTTATTCATAAAGCCAACTACTCTTTCAAAAGTAATCGCTTAATCATTATAACTAGCAGTTTAAGACCCTTTACCAATTTTGGCTAGATTTGATTGCCAAACTTAATATGAAACTGTTTAGTCTATTGAGGGAAAGGATAACGTAATGCATGTTTCTTTGATTACTGAGAAAGTTGCCCATATATCCATATAAGCCTTCGAGATTTGTAAAGGGGTTACATACAGGTTTGGTTCTTGGGGAAGAAAGATTGTCTGACATTATATTAAAGGGAATTGGGTGGGCAGAGTAGGGGAAGGAACATTGAGGTTCAAAACATTGAGGTGTTTCAGCTAAGAAGTATTCACTAAGTCAGAATTACTCAGAAATTGAAGGATATCAAACTGGTGAAATTGAGACGACTCAGTAAGAACTTGGGACCAGAGCACGAAGCACTATGAATAAGGACAGTGAGAGGAAATAAGATTTTCTGAGTGAAAACAAAAGCTTATTTTTGAAACATTTAACAATTAGTGTAAAAACTTAAAAGTGGATGGGGAAGAAGAGAGAAAGGAAATCAATAGCAGGATTAGTTTCCATGGCGACAGGGAACAACCTGGTGTGGAAGCACTGTATTGGACACCTGAAACTGACTAATTTAGCTGCACAGACTATTGTGTACCACATAGACCTAAGCGTCACCAATCCTAGGTGCCTGTACTGGGAGTTGAGGTGAGAGGAAATGGAAAGGGAGTTTGCATGGGGAGCACCTGCAGTTGGTGGATTAATGTCTGTTACAGTGATTTTCATGCCAAGGGTATCGCAGTGCAGCTAGACCCTGCTTTCCTCTGCAGGCTCCACCCACTGTTTGAAGCTTCTGCCCCAGCTTGCATTGTTTGTAGCAGAACCTGCGTCATACCTTTATCTGTAGCCTTCCCTTAGGTCTTAAGGATCCCGAAACTTGACTGGATATTGGATTTGGTGGAACAGCAATCATGGTAAGATGTTATGTTGGAGCAGAGAGGTGAGAAGTACTGCAAGGGCCCAACACAATGCTTGGCCAGAGTGGGAGGTAGTTGAGTGGTAGAAATAAAAGTTGATCTATAGAGAGGTAATGGGATCTTTGGAGAAGCTACGTCACCACGTGAACTCACTACTGGGAAGGAATGGTGTCAGTTGTCCTATGGGTAAACAGTTTGGAAAACACTTGAAGAGTAATCTTACATGTGAATCAATACAGAAATCATCTACAGTGTCAAGTGTACTGTATGAGAGGAGTTTGGGAGTAGAATTGGGAAATCACAGGGATTAAATGATGGGATATTAAGAAGGCACTGGGAATCTATTAGTCTGGATGATTGGAGAGTACATAGGGTTTCTGGGAAGTAGAGTGTAATAGCCCTGGGTGCATGTGTGGTCCAGTATTTTGAGCAGGCATTGGAGAAAGAATGTTGGGGTTGAAACCAAGGGGTTTGGGGAAACTGACTGGTTTGGCATAGGAGAGGGGAGGGTTGGAAAGGAGCTGTGGACACTCAAGTAACGCTTTCTTCTTCCAGACGGTAGGAAAGAGCAGCAAGATGCTGCAGCACATCGACTACAGGATGCGGTGCATCCTGCAGGACGGCCGGATCTTCATTGGCACCTTCAAGGCCTTTGACAAGCATATGAACTTGATCCTCTGCGATTGTGATGAGTTCAGGAAGATCAAGTAAGACCCCTTGGGGTTGGATGTTGGGAGATTAGTGATACTGAGAACACAGGGAAGGACATTCAGGTTGAAAACATGGCTGGACTGGTGTGGTTCAATCTTCTAGTGATTTCTCCAGATTGGATAATACTCCCAAGTAATGGGGTATCCACACTATTTGATGTTTTGTAAATGAAAACGTGAACTGGGACTAGAACTATATGTTATGTCACTTGCATTTATTTAAGAAATAGGGAAATGTTCTTAGTATGTTCTGCTGCGACATTAATTCAGACTGACGGCATCAAAAGAACAGCAGATGGTCTCCATGGTTGACTCGTTGGGATATGACGAGGAAATACCAAGCCAGACTTTGAATTTGTTCAGCCGGCCTCTTTGCAAAAGGCTCATGTTTTGTCTGCACCATCAAGTTCACTGTTGGTTTGGACACCGCCCCTAACCCCCATTGCATTTTTCCAGGAGCCACCTCCCTGGTGGGGAGCCCTCTCGAGCAGAGTGGCATATCCACAACAAGGACACAGAATGTGGTATATCGTGGTTACTTCCTTCCAGTCTGGAATTGAAATCATAGCATCTGTCTTGGTGCTTATGACGCCTGGACATTCCAGATGTGAGAAGCCTAATGGCACAAGGGCATGCAGGGTGGGTAAAAGTAGTTTACAGTTGTGAGTTCAGAACCACTGAGTTGACTGTTTCATAATTATTCTCTTTTCCACGTAAACAACTGTAAACCTACTTTTGTCCCCACCTTGTTTTGTTCCTGTTGACAGTAGAAGAAACTAGAATCAAGTTGCTTTTTTTTTGCATTTATCTTCAGATAGGGAGGGAGAGAGAAACATTGATGTGAGAGAGACACATCAACAGATTGCCACTCACACAATCCCAACTGGGACCCAGGACAAGCTACAACTGAGATACATGCCCTTACTGGGAACTGAACCCAGTTCTGTCTGGTTTGCGGGCCGACGCTCTTAACAGCTGAGCCAAACTGGCCAGGGCTCAAGTTGCTTTTTAATTTCCCATGGTTGTACAGTCAAGTGGTAAAGCCAGGAAATCACAGCTGTCTGTTACTTAAAACTTCTCCACCGTTTGGTATTCCTCGTGGCTTAATAACGTTCCCACGTTAATGGAGGCCACTGTTGTGTGGGTGTTTTCTGTCACTATGGTTTAGGCATGAGCATCTTGGCATGAAATACTGACTGAACAGGTAAATGATGATCTATGAATACTTCAGTGTGTGAGGAATCCCTGGGCACCTTACTAAAATGTACTTCTGACTTGTAGGCCAAAGAATGCAAAGCAGCCGGAGCGCGAAGAGAAGCGAGTTTTGGGTCTGGTGTTGCTGCGTGGGGAGAACTTGGTTTCCATGACTGTGGAGGGACCTCCCCCCAAAGATGTAAGGAAGATACAGAGCAGGATAAACATTGATGGGGGAGAACAACAGATGTGAAAAATTCAGTAGAACAGAACAGAGGAACAGGGAAGAGGCCTTGTCTAGTCAAGTGTGCCTGACAATCAGTTCTGTCTTGTGAATATGGGAATAAAGTGTTCTTGGAATATTTCCAGGTGCTGCATACACCAGAAATAGGGGTGGATTTGCCAATTTTCTCTCTTGTGGGTCATAAAATGTTTCGTCACAATTTGAAAACAATGCGTTGCAGCTGCAGGTGCCTCCACGGTGCCTCGATCCACTTACTCCGAGTGCAGAGCTAATAGGAGGTTGATGACATAGGGAATGGTGGAAAGGAAGATGATCTTTTAGGGGATGATTAAAGACGAGTGATAACTTTGATAAATTATTTGATTTTAAGCTATTTTTCTGGTTTCAGACTGGCATTGCTCGTGTACCACTTGCGGGAGCTGCAGGAGGCCCTGGGGTTGGCAGGGCTGCTGGCAGAGGAGTACCCGCTAATGTTCCAATTCCACAGGCTCCTGCAGGATTAGCAGGCCCTGTCCGAGGGGTTGGGGGACCCTCCCAGCAGGTGAGGAAACCAGCAGGTTTCATGTCAGGGGAGGATGTTCTCTGAGCCTGAGGCTGAGGGGATGGGAAAGCCTGAGTGCACGCTGCAGTGTGAGCATCAGGTTCTGTAGAGGGGACCGGACAGAGACAGGTGCATGCTGAAGAGGTAGAACACAGCCACCTTAGTAGGAGTAGCTCACACTACTGGTGAATGCCAAGAAAATGCAAAGGCCTATAGATATAATAGGGGTACCTTCAGTAAAAGGGGATTCAGAGTGCCGAGATGGTAAACGATAACAGTGGGAGATGGACACAGCTGCTGAGGGATTTTTGAATAGGCCGTGATCCGCCACTTGGTTTCTCTGTTTGAATGGTGTGAGGATGTGCCTTACCTGGACTGTCTCTCTGGCCATCCTTCTCAGGTAATGACTCCACAGGGACGAGGCACTGTGGCAGCAGCCGCTGTTGCGGCCACTGCAAGCATTGCTGGAGCCCCAACTCAGTACCCACCAGGTCGGGGGACTCCCCCCACACCTGTGGGCCGGGCAACCCCCCCTCCAGGTAAGGAACGGATGAACAAGAAGCAAGAGTTTAGTTCTTAGAGGTGTGGGTCTGCGAAGAGAATCTAGAATCCTGAAGAGTTACCTAAAATACTCTCAATACTGAATTAAGACCCAGACTCAGTACCTAACTAGGAGCTTAGATTGGGTTCCTCCTTGTGGATAGTGGCTTTTAGTTGAAACATTTGGACTGCAGATGATTTACATGGTTAATAGTCACGGAGAAATCAGTCAACTCTATTTGGTGTCTGGGCCCATTTATTTCAGTACCGTCATGAGTTTATTTCCTTCATATTTCTGTGGTCTTTATTTTGGTTGTTTTTCTATTCTAGGCATTATGGCTCCTCCACCTGGTATGAGACCACCCATGGGCCCACCAATTGGGCTTCCGCCTGCTCGAGGGACACCCATAGGCATGCCTCCTCCAGGAATGAGACCCCCTCCACCCGGGATTCGGGGTGAGTGGGTGTATAAGGGCTCAGTGGTACCAATGGGTCCCTGGATATGGAAGTGCATTTTGGTTAATGGTCTTGTGGAATTTTGCACTATTTTCCAGGTCCACCTCCCCCGGGAATGCGTCCACCAAGACCATAGGATGCTATTGTGCTTTGCCACTTTTTTCCTGCAACACGTCTTGTGAAACTGTAGACTGTAGAATGTTTGTGAGCCTCTGTTCCCTCTTCGCTGCGTTAATATTCACTAATAAATGATAGAGTAATTAAACTGTGAGGGACTGTTGTACATTTTCTTGCCTGTTGGTTTTGTTGAGGTCAGTGAAGACTGAGATAGTTGTCTTGACTGAGGTGAATCCTGTTAAGGCAACTTTTTAAAATCCATTTCACTTTGACTCTTGTGATAGCATGGTTTTGATGATTGTTTCAGCTTCCTAACTTTCACACTGCATTGACTGGTGGTGGTAACAACCTTTGCACCTAAGGAAACTTGATTCAGTTAAAGGGTTGAGACGAGACTCCACTTTATTATTCCCTGCATACCTGGGAATAGGCTAGGATGGGATGAAGGGTCTTATAAGGCCACACAGAGGAGGAGACAGGTGGAGTCCCAGCACCTGGCTAGGAGGCACCTACGGGACCCATTTATGCAGTGCTCGGGCCTTGTGTGATCAGAGCACAGGAAATGTTCCTGGAACACGCATATTTTCTACCCATGAGTAAGTATCACTTTCTAAATGTTTCCATTAATGTGGCCTAGTCTGAGTATTTGAAATGGGTAGACTGACGGTGTCTTTGTTGTTTTTTTCAGCGGAGATTTGTGTGTGTCCATCTTTTCCATCATTGGCTGTCAAGGAAATGTCTCCCATAGGGGGCCTTCAGAAGGATTACAGTTGCTATTGATGGTCACTATCAGGTAAGGCACTTAAAAAGTAGCCAAGCCTTCCTTGGTTTAAGAGACAAGGTCAGTTCAACTCTGGTATACATGACAAAATACTGTATGAATAGTATATACTCATGTTCTGTGCAGACTGCTCTCTAGGCTAACCTCAAATGATTTGTGTAGAAAAAATTTTTGTAAGGGAAACATGCCTCCATACGTAGAACTGCAGACGTGATGGTGTCCGTTTTGGCATGGTGGGGTTCATGCAATGTGAATACTGCCTGTCCTGTCCCTCATACAGGCCCCTCCATGAGATGTTAGTGGGCTCTGCCAGACATGCATAACCAAGCAAGCCAGGAACTTTTCCTGGTGGAAAACAGGAGGGGCCTTCAATTTTGTAAAATAACACACTAACTTGAAGTATGCCTGTGTATTTCCTGGTGTCTCTTAAGATTGTTCCTACATTCAAGATAAGTTCCTGGATTCCGATCACATTGACTGTGACTCCATGATTATATACATTGCATACCACTTTAGGTTTTTAGTATGGTTTACAAAACAGTTTCAAGTAGATTTTTATGATCCAATTGTTATGCTGCCTTAAAACTTTGTTACTGGTTATCATTGGTATCCTGTGTTGAACTGTATTTGTGTAAAAGCATATCAAAAGTAACTTTCGACCTTAAACTCATTGGTTTTTAGTCATGAAATCATGCCAGACTTAAAAAGTCCTGCATTTTCTTCAGCATCATAGCAATGTAATTGATAAAGAATGTAGTAATTTTATCATGTACAACATTTGCTATGTGTGGTGAGAACATTTACAATGGACTGTAAGCAGATTAAGTACAGTTGACCCTTAAAGAACATGGCTTTGAATTGCATGGATCCACTGACATGGGGATTTTGTCAGGAAACACAGCCAGCTCTCTGTATCCCTGGGTTTTACACCTGTAGATTCCAGCCAACCTCATATCATATATAGTCTGTGGCGGGGACTCTTCAGATGTGGAAGACCAGCTGCATGCATTGTTCTGCCCTATTTCATAAGTAGGCCTTGGAGATCCTTGGGTTTTGAAAGTACCCATGGGGATACTGTAACCATTGCCCACCGATTCTGAGGGGTAACTAAGTTTTGGCCAAGTCAGTTACACGTGCATTGTTCAGGGATTTAACTGTAAGTGTAGTGATTATGCTATTCACAAAATCCCTAGAAACTACATTATATTCAAGAGTTTACAATACCTCCACATTTCCTCCACCCCTGGCAACCTCCATTCTATTCTGTTTTTCTGAGTTCAACATTTTTTCCCCATGTAAATGAGATCAGTTTGTAAACAAAACATGTTTTATTTTTTGTAGGTCCTAATAATACAGGTCATCTAGGAATATGTAATTTTAGTAACCCTTGCCTAGATTTATAATACTCTTTTAAAAATCAGAAAAAAACGGTAATTTAAAAAGACTTTTGTTTTTAATTTTGGCTAATCTTTACTTGAGGATGTTTCACTATTTTTAGATAGAGTAAAAGGGAGGGAGAAAGACAAACAACTCTGTGAGAGACACATACAATTGTTGCCTCCCGCACAGCCCTGCTGCGGATCAACCTGCTGCAACCCAGGTATCTGCTCTTGGTCAGGATTCTGAACTTTGATGCTTTAGTGCACAGGGAAAAGCTCTAACAGCTGAGCCCCAACCAGCCAGGGGTAAGAAAGATCTCAGTAGATTTCAGCATGCTGTTCCATGGACTTCTAGGGCACCATCCTGGTTCTCAGGTTCCATCTGCAGTAGGAGGCAGCCGATCAACGTTTCTCACATGGTTTCTACTGAACTTCCTCCTTCTAAAAAATCTAAAAACATTTTAAAAGTAATAACTAGAACTTCTATTGATTTCAACCTGTAGTTTATTAAAGTTCTATGTCATGAAAATTTCAAGTATATTAGCTACTTAATAATACATTGCCAGATTTTGTCTTAATAAGATTGGCATTCTGTTTCCCATGGGACTGGCCATGACTACAGGGATGAATTGTGTTAAATATAAAGCAAGGCATGTTGAATGGGGGTCTTCATTAACAAGTTATCCAGTCTCATGCAGTGCCTTTTTGCCCTCATAGTTGAGTGAAAAGAAGAGGGAATTTGATCACTGAATTTTCTGGCATGTCAATGTGGATCCAAGCCGATGCTGTAAACGAGGCTGAAAACCATACTAACTGCCTTTAGGACAGAAACGCAACAAGCTGCAGCAGGTAAGGTGACCTCGTAAAGAAAAGTAAGCCCGTGTTGTAGAGGCCTTGGCTAGGTTCATGATGACACAGGACCTTGTCTGAGCATCGTGATTTCAAAATCTGAGTTTGAAAATGTCACTGAAATCCAGTCAGTGTGCCTCACTAAATTTTCCAGAGAACATAATTCTCAACAGAAATTGGCTTGTGGTGTTGAAACTTAGCATATTTAGAACACATGCCAGTTCCTCAAACATTCTCCTTTAACATTTTCATAGACAATTGGAGCTAATTCTTTTTTGTTCCATATGTATTTATGCTGTGAAAGCAACAAAGGAAGCTTATCCTTGGGTCCCAGGAAGCACACATGTTGGCGTGAGACAGAAGCCAGGACAACTGGAAAGGAGACTGCCTCCCTCTCAATCAACACCACCTGCTGGAGCTCTAGGTATCTAGTGATGTCCAGGGAGGAGGGATCTCACAACTACGGAAAGGCAAGGGATGTGGAAAATACCTTCACGTGGATTCAGATACTACTGATGTTTGAGGACAGTTTATCTTTTGTTTTTGTTTTTCTTCATTTGTCTGTATTCAAGACCAGTGATTTTCAACCATTGTGCCACAAGAATTTTCAAGACATACAATACCTGATTAGTCAGGAGCACTGACCTCTTTTCCCAGATGTCAAATAAAAGACAACAGCCAAACATAACACTGTGCGCTGTGAATATGAAACAAAATTATACCCATTTTTTGTCATATTAGCAAAAATACTTTTTTGGTATGCCACAGAATTTTAATTATTGGTTTATGTGTGCTCTGAGTTCATAAAGGTTGAAAATCGCTGTCCTAGATCAAAGGGTTTAAGTCCAGGACACAGGAAATGTTTAAGAAGTTGAGGCAGTCTTACTCATTTTTAAATGTGTGAATACGAGTCATGAAATGCTTTACAGTTTCTTACAGTGGAATACCTGGGTAACAGTCTAGGCCCATCTGAGTCCCAACTCCATACTCAAACACTACGAAGTCAGCTGTTGCTGAAAGTGTCTACCAATGCTTCTTACTGTGACAGGACATTTTTAGGGGATACACTTTATCTACTGTTTATATCACAGGGTGAGGGACTTGTGTTGCTCAGTGAGACCATGGAAGCCAAGCAGCACAAGAACAGGATCTGAAATCAGCTTCCAAGGACATTCATTCTGGAAGTCAATGTTGACGAGCGTATTCATCAGGTTCTGCAGTCAGTCTGTGTAGGGACATCTGTGTGTAGGCTTCAGCTAATTGTAGATGAAGATCTTAAGCAACTTCTTTCTCAGACAAAAGGGAGGTAGTTGTGCCCCGTGGCCTCAGTGTCCTGGTGACAGGGACGCAGTCCACAGGAGCCATTTTCTTGTACATGATCACTTCTGCAGCGATAGCAAGAATAAGGTGGAAAACTGTTCCCGTGGGAGTGATTTCTTGTCTGTTAGGAGACATATCAGGAAAAGTAGTTTGTGCTCAGTTCTTTCAATGATAACATTTGGTTTACATTACCTTAGGATTTGGATTCCTTATATCAGCGATGTTAGAACTTAGCTCAGACTTAGTTCTCCCAAGGGTAGCAGCCACAGACCTGGCTTCGTCTATTGATCTGCCTCAATTGTATTTGACCATTCTCATTGCTCTTTCCTTTTGGTTTTTTTTAAATATGCTTTGGAATGTTTTGTTGACTGTTCAATGTAACCCAGGCTCTTGAATTGGATTAAAATTAAGTTGTTTGAACATAGGAAGGTATTTCTTGAGGTTACATCTGCCTGTGGTGCCTTCGGTTAGTTCAGTTTTCAATTTGTTGGACCATTTGAATGGGGAAGTAGCATTCTAAGGTATTATATTTCGTTGTAAGACCCCAAAGAGCTGGCAGATTGCTGAGAGTTTTGTCACCTTAATTGTGTCAGTTGAAGGATATTGCTGCCAAAGATGATCCACCTGTCACTCCTTCTGAAGCCAGGAATTTTCCATTAATAGAAATGTACAGTCTGCAGACATGAACATTTGAGCAAGGTGCACTTGTTGGGCAGATCTTGGCTTGACTTATGATGAGCTGTGTTTCCTGAGCACCATGACATGATGGTCAACTGAATACTCTGAAGTCCAGCCAAAGTGTCAGTCCATGGACATGGGCCGCACATTTTCTGAACAAACGCTGTAGGCTGTACATTTCACAAGGTCTCCCCATCAATATTGAGCTGTAGGTTTTCCCAGTGAAGTTGAGGAAGGTTAGGTTCCTGATCCATGACATTATTCCTTTCTGTACATAGTATTTTCTGTATTTGCAGTGCCTGGTACATCTCACTTTTGTGCATTTCAAGTGATAACTTCAAGAGAATGAGGACTTGGGAGCTACAGTGGTTTGTTTGATTCATGAAAGCATAGCTCTATTCCAGCGTTGTACCAGTTTGAGACCCTGAGCCCAGCCTCTGAGGCAGCTCCAGTCATCATAGGAACAAGAAACTGCCAGTTTACTCTGGCCTGAGATGAGACTTCATATTCAGAGAGAGGGCTCTATCTCATTCTTTTCTTACTAAGTTACCACTTTCTGTATCTTGGCAAGGCATGGATGGAGATTTAGAATTTTTCAATCTGATTCAAGAGGATGAAATTGACATTTGGCAGTTGGTGGATCTGAGCCCTGTAGAGAGAAAGTTTTGCCAAATACTGTGCAGTTTTTGAAAGGGGTCTTTACTCACATCATTCTTTAATCTCAGTCTGTATTGTATGAGTAGCACATCTTTTATTACCTGAGGTGGACATTCTATGGTTAGGCGCTTGTGCTTTGCTTTCGGTAGCTCTTGTGAGGAGGTTGAATAGTAATTAAACAGGTATTTAGAAAAAAACCTGTATAAAAAAGTTACCATGGACAGTTGAATGTACTAAGACCTTATCCTTAAATAGTCACCTTAATTTGTTGTGTGTGTGTGTGTGTGTAAATATAGTATGGGTGTTATGTTGAGTGAACAGCTTATAGTGAAAAGCTGTTGGGGTTCCAATGAATTACATTCTTTGTAAAGTTAAGTTAGACAAGTATTTTCACAGTTCTTGACCTTATTTAGTCCCTGTTTTCCTGCCAGAAATTTTTGTATATTTACTACCTCAGAGACTTGTTTGGTTTCTCTTAGTGTTGCTGATCCTGACCAGTAGGAATATGCTGATTGAATTGACAGGAGGAAGCTGCCCTTGTAATTGAAAGGCATGAGGAGTAGCCAGCTGAGGGAGAGATGAAAGGAGTGAGCTTGATGGATGTGACCTTGGACTTGGGTGTAGGCACTAGGGTCCTCCCACTGCTGGGAGAAGGAACACTGGTGCTAGTGAGCCCCATCCAAATACAGGGGTCCCAGAGAAAATGCCTGCACAGGGGCTTGTTGCTTGGATGGGGGAGGTTTGACTTGACTATCAAAAATCAGAGCTCTTAAACCTGATGACAGCTTTCCTTCCTGCAGAGGGAACTGAGGTCCATCACAGCTAATTTATGATTGGAGCAGTTTCTGAAAGAGGACTGGTAAAAGGGAAAGACTTAGATGATAGATGAATGGAAGAGAAGGAAAAATAGGTTTAAGGTGATCATGTCCCTGTGTTGTTGTCCAAGTGTGAAAGGGAGACTTGTAAATGGAGCAGCATCAGAATCATTTCATTTGTGAGCCCTGTGTGAATATCAGAACAGTGGGAAGTTAAGGAGTTAGAAACATCAATCTACCTCCCAGCTTAGAGGTGTTAGGTCTGGGCCCTTGCTGAGGTCATGTACTAGGCAGTGTCATGTCATCTGTGGAGATGGCTGAGATTGCCAAGAAGGGAGGGGGGTGAGCGTTCTTGCTGTGCTTATTTATTACTAGAATGGGCCACGTGGTTTACATTTGTAGGCAGCTAAGAGGAAACCAAACTTTTCTCCAACTTGAGTGCACATGAGAATCAGCCCATGGGTTTGTACAGTTGCTCAGATACGGATACTGTAGTTCTGGGTCTGAGATGTTGACAGATGATTGGGATTAGGTATCACACACAGAACAAATGGGTTTTAGTTGGAACAAAGTTGTCATTCTCTAAAAGTGCTATTATATGATTAATTTATATGAATATGGATAACAATGAAATATGACAAATAATTAAATGAACATGAGTAGGGAATTTGGAGAGAAAACTGGTTGTCTTAAGTGAATGCAAAACACTACATTATTTTTCCCTTGTAAATCCAACGAAATAAGAATCAAATGTGTGGGTTTTCAGACACTTGGAAAATCGATTTGAGAATATGAATCCATATATCTTCTCAGAACAAATTGTAAATTTACATTTAAATCATGAACCTTATTTGAGGAAGAAAGTTTTCTTTTTTATAATTTTTCTAATCAACTACTACCCAAATTTTTATTTAGTTCAATTTGGATAAAAATGACTAATAAATAGAAAAGCCCAGAAAACAGACTTTTTATAAAACACTTTAAAATACAGATGTGATCTCAATAGTGCGTTGATTTCCTAGACAAGGTTTTTTTCCCTGTTATTTAAAAGTTGTGGGGGGATTTTTTCCCAGGTTGTGTTCTGTGTTGGTCACTGAACTCTGCATAACATTAATTACTCTGCATTTAGGCACATTTTGCAGTACTTGAAGCATACACTTCTGGACCATTTAAAATGGTCCATAAACTGCAATACCAATGAATTTCTGGGTGATGCTATTTTCTGGGGGAAATTTCAATATATGTGTTATAATAGCTTGGCTGTAAATACCCTGGCGGCAATATTTGGTATTGGAATGGAGAACTTCTTTGTAAATATACTTCTTTATGAGAATAGTTTTACAATGAACTGTCCACTGTTACTGGCGTACTTTGAAATTTAGCCACTTTTAGTTAAAGTACTGAGAAATACAGATGTAGGTCACGTCAGAGGTACCCTACAGCAACTGAAGAAGGAACCCAGACTGGAAACAGAGACTTCTTTTCTGTGGCTTGGTCTAAATAAAAAAATGAGAAATCACTGAGTTTTTAAAAAATTGTTACTTATGAAGGGACTCCCAACTTGAAACAAGGAGACTTCTGTGTTTGGCCTGAATAAAATGAGAAATCATGGAGGATAAAAATTATGACTTCTGAAGGAACTCCCAACTTATAACAAGGAGACTTCTATTTTATGGCTTGGACCTAAAATGGGAAATCATGGAGGCTTTTTAAAATTTGTGACTTGGAAAGGGACCTACATTTGAAACAAAGAGACTTCTTCTCTGTGGCTTGGCCTGAGTACAAGGAGAAATCACACAGGACTTAAAAAACTGATTTATGATTTCTCTAAAAATTACTGCAATGATACTGGTTTTTGTATTTTTATAGGATGGCAGAAAAATTGGGTCATTATATTTTTCTAATTATCTTTTGCACACTGTAACTCTGGTGAGCAAGACTGAATGCCAAGGCTTTGAGTTTCAGATAGACTGGGTGTCATACCTACTGAGTGAATTATGAATTCTAAGATTGTCAAAGTAATAATAGAAATATCCCATCACTCAAAAATTACAAAACACGATGATGAAACTGAAGAATAATTTTGTTTGTCTTACAATATAACATGACAATCTGGAAAAATACTTACAAAAAGGCATAGACGGACTTTTCTGATTCTTTTATGGGGGAGAATCCATTCCTAATTGAACAAAGGGTACAAGAAATGAGACCCTACAGTTTAGGCAAAATTTAGTTTCCAGTTTAAACCTCCTATATTTTTCTCATTCTCTAAAGGTTTAGTCAAGACAAAAGGGCATTTCATTGTACTGTGATGATGGGCACAGAGAATAGGACAATACTATCTTAAATTCAAATTGCCTACCCCATCAGATAGTGATACTTCCACGAGAGCACCAAATTTTAATTTGGGGCTTTGGTGGAAAAAGAAAGTGTTCCTTAAAGTTGTCTACCCTTACTGTATGCACCCACCTGTCAGTCTAGCTCACTGAGGGATAAAATGTACATGTTAAAAAAACAAGCATGTGTTCATTTGAACAAATCTTTTGTGCAAATCTCTTAGAGATCAAGAGTTCATTGCTATTGAAAGTATACAACAGTTTACTTGTTAGTGGATAGCAGTTTTTGGCCACATGAATATATTTAGGTTGGCTTTTGTAATGGACATAGACATCTACAACTTGATGGAAAGGAAAAGACTTGGAACATTTTTAAAAATGACAACATGTCTGGATAACAATATGCTGGTAGTTGAACATGTGAAATATTTAAAAATCATTGTATGAAATACACGACTGAATTTTATAGAAATGTAAAAAGGTGATGCCAACTAGGGGCTGAGGAAGTAGCCATCATTAATGGACATGGATGGAGCCTGAGAAAGATGGACAAGAGTTTCTTGCCAAAGGTTAAAACATTTGTTGCCTGGTGGATACTGCTCAGACGCCCATCAGATGGCTGCTCTGGAGACACCTTTCTAGTCTTTTAAGCATACTGAAACTTCCAGCTGCCGCCTTAACTTCTGTCTTCAGATTTTTTTATTTGTGTCTGCCAGAGAAGTTTTTGGGACAGATGGTGAACCACATCTTGTTTTAACAGTGTTAGAAATAAGCAATAATCGAAGAAGAGAAAGATTATATAAACCGGTGGTATTTAGAGTCTCCTTTGCCTAAGTTAAAACTGGAAAATTTCCAATTGGAGTCTCTGAAGATTTGGATTCTTAAAAAATCTGTGATGTTCCTTTGCTCTTAACCTCTGGTTCCATAAGAATCTCCAGAAATATGTACAGCAAGAAACAATGTGATTGCAGCCCAGGATAATGTACAGTCTTTCTGAAAACCTCTCTTCCATTAACATTAGATGAGCAGGAGACAACAGCCTGAGGGACTGCCCTGCATTGATAGAAGGTAGTTTCAAGTTCTGGAGAATTCTGAACAATTGTGGTTATGGACTGCTCTGGGTATCTGATCCTCATGCTGGTTTAAGGGATCTTGGGCCAGATCAAGAACAGTGTGATTCATGTCTGGTCCACAGCCTCAGGACAGCAGCACGTTAGAATTGATCTGATCTATAAGCTTTTCCAGCTACAAAAAAAGGCAATTGCACCGTTTTGACCTTCGTCTTGTCTTTCAAATATTTGCCTTTCATTGAAAATCTATGGAATTGGATAAAAAGGATATTGTTTTGTTACACAGAACCAACTTACCTTCAGAATGGTTACCCTTGAATTCTGTGTACAGCAGACACTTGTGTACATGTGTTAGACACAGAAGTTCGTGGTTTTTTCTTCCCACTAACATTTTTAAAACAGCTCTGAATCTAATCCCTCAAACTGATTTATTGGACACATCAAGCTTCAAAATTTATGAAAACTGGGGAATGGTATTAAAATGTAAATATAAAATGCTCAGTGACTGATGAATGTGTATGAACTGTTAGTTGATGTTAAGAGATGAAGAGAATGAACTTCAACATGTAATGGTTTCATTTTATTCTTTATTTTTGTTTACTTAAACTTCCTTGGAATATTATACTCAAGCACAGAGGCCTCCATTTATAAACAAATTCATTATTTTTAGATACTTTTGTAACGATTGCTGTGATATTACAGCTGGTTTCCTAAGGAAGTTTCTAATAACATTTGGTAAAATTGTCTTCTGGAGAATATTTTAGAAAATCCGGAGGCGTTTTGTAAAGCTATACACAATTCTGTATTCATTGTTTGTGTGCTCAGGGAAAGCAGAAAAGGAATGGAGTGCTCGACACATTGATCAGAAAAAAAGCAAGGCACCAGGTGTCTTCATGTACATTCTGAGAATAGTGTGTATGAAAAAAAAAACCAAATATTGCTTTGCGACATTTCCTCATGTACTGTAATTGTTAACAAAGAATTTGGTGAAATATATAGAAGTATTTTAATACAAGATTATAAAAATAGAACTGTCAGAATACCTCTGAAAGATGTACATTTAAAATCATTTGAGTGGGTAATTGCTGTGGGAGTTGGGGGAAGAGGGATTGTTCTGTATACAGCTGTCAATAGACATTGTACTAAGGCTGCTTTGTATGTAGATGTTTATGTAAATGCTCTTTATGGGAAAAAAGGTTACAGTGAGACAGAATTGTTACTTTATGCTTGACAAAGAGAGTGCAGGATTGAAGAGGCTTTGTTATTCCTGGTTATCTAGTAGGAAAAGCACTGATACACCATTTTGTCAAGCATACAAATGGATGACATCTGGGACTACAATGCTCATATGTCAGAATTCTACATATTTTGTAAATTTTCTCATGTTAAACAGGCAGACTGTTTCCACAATTGATTTCATCATTAATTTATTTCTGATACATTTTGTTTATACAGTGTTATTAATGTTTACCATACAATTTTATACATGTATAAACATCATTGTAAATATATATTGACATATTAGGATAGAAGCATTTCTGTTTGCCAAAGAGATGTTAGATCTAGCCTCTCTGTATATTTGGATTAGGCTCCTTAGGCTTCATTTCTAAATTGTGGTCAGTGTAATCTGTAGGATGCAGTATAATGTACACTGTTTTTTGACATAAATCATCATTTAGGAAACGTCATTGTTAACTCTAGATCTGTCTTTGTTTATGGTTTTCAGACATGTTTATATACAGATATAACAGAGCTTGGCATAACTTGGAGAAATCTCTACATGTGATAAAAATAGCATTGATTAGAAAAGTTTCCATTTGCCAATGAAATTTGACTTGATAGTGAATTATTTTAATGTACCTATTTCTAGTTATATAGGTGATTTATAAGTTTTATGTGGGACGTTAGCAATGGAATATATCAAACCCAAGTTCATTAAATGTGGGCTGACAAAAGAATGTTTTTGTATTATATGTTAAATAATGGACTCAGTTATGCTTTTAAAGCAATAGGGACAACTATATTTGCATGTTTCATAGGTATATTTATTGTATATAAAGCGAAAACTTTCCCTGACAGTTGTCATTATCTCTGAATTAATAATTGGGCAGCTGATGGGGGATAATTTTTAAATAATTCTATATGAAATAGTTAAAATGTTTTTGCTTTAAACGTTTAGTCCCTGAAATATAAGGAATGTTTACATATTCATGTGTGTACATGTACACACATGAGTACTTACATGTACATACATGTAAATGACTGTATAGAACTGTTTATTAAAAGTCATAGGAAAAACTGATTGGAAGATACTGTGAGGCTGCTAGTTATATGGTGGACAAATGTTTTTGTTTTATAACATCTGCATAGGATTTACTGATAGGCATATATTTTGTGAATACCAAGCTGATAGGCAAGTGTGAGAATTCTACTTTTGCAATTGAATTGCTATAGTAGGACTATTTAGGATGTAAATATTTGGTCAAGGGGGATTGCCTTTGTGTTTTTGTGGGTTTTTTTCCATTAGACATTCTTGTTAGTTTGTAAAATCTTTGCCATTAATATTTTAAATAATTGTAAACATGTATACTTTTTTCCAATTTAATTTTTGAATGTAAAATGTTAGAACCGAGCAGGGAAGTACTTGACTGCTGTATGTATAATAGACAACCTTCTTAATAACATCTTAACTTCCTAGGTATGTAGACATACCCTCTCTCCATGCGCACATGCGCGTGCACACACGCACACACACACAGTAAATATATTAATGTTGGAATATGGTAAGATGTTTATTACCAATAGAAGTGTTATTTCACCCCTTAGTGTTTGGTTTCACTTGGTGTGAATGGAGGGGGTGGTTAATCTCATCGGTTCTTTTTTTTTTTTTACCATATGATTTTGTAGATGTGCAGACATTTCTGTAATTTTGAAAATGGATTTCAACTAAAATTATAGCATATACTTTTTTTTTTGGTTTCACGCCTGTTCATTGCTGATACTTTTAAATATCAAATTATTAATGTAACTAGACTTTTTTTGTATGTATAGTGATGTATTTTAAGGGTTATGGACAAGGGTAGTGGATGTTTTCACATCTCACTTATACAGCTTTTTTGTTTTTTGTTTACTGATTGTGGACACATGTTGCAATCATGACAGTACAGAACTGCTTTCACAAATTATTTTAAGAACTATATAGGTGGCTCCATGGGGTTTGTTAAACACCTGTGATAATTAAATTTATTGGGGTGACAATAGATTTGTGCATATGTTTCTATGACACAGAATCAGAACATTGCATTATTTGCCCATCCTACATCACCATATATTTGGCCCTCTTTACCCTTTACAACCCCTCACCCCCATCCAAACAACATGGATTGACCTTGAGAACACAACTCAAAAAAGCTAAAAAGCACATAATTTCATGTGCGATATAAAGCATTGAAAGTATATTTACCTCATTTTTTATTTTGAAACAGTATATAGAAAAATCATCAAATGGTCGTTTTAAAGAAAAAAAACCTCATTTTTTAAGGGACATGCAGTCATCTTATTTTTCAAAATGTACAGGATGGTTCTGTGTTAATTTGTTACATGACATAATCCTGTAAATATTTTGCTGTAAATTTGTTATTAAAAATAATATGGCAATACAATTAATCATGGATGAACAGGCTCTTAGAGCTGTGAAAAATTTATACATTAATTTGGTTGTAAGGAGAAATGGACAAGATATTATTTACCCCACTGTGGAGAAATAGTCTACCATCCTAACAAGTATCAACTATCATTTAAAAAATTTAAATACATGTGAATTCATTTGGTGTTTTTGGATGCATCAAGTTTCCTGATATGTTTCTATTACTATTTTTCATTAAGAATCTTTTAAAAACAGTTTTAAATTCACTGCAAAATTGAAGGAAAGATAGAAAGATTCCCCATATACCCCTTTCCCCACACACAGGCACAATCCCCACTATCCAACCCAACACATGGAGAATCATGCCTGTTACTAACATCCCCCACCAGAGCAGTTCATGCTAACACCACAATCACCCAAAAGTCCAGAGTTTACATTGAGGTTAAGGCTTGGTGTCGTTCGTTGTACGGGTGTGAGGACATGCTTAATGACTTAACACCCCTTGTATATGCAGCATTTTCAGTGCCCTAGAAATCCTCTGTACTCTGCCTATTCATCCTTCTGTATTTTCTTTTTTTTAAACATTCAGGATATTAATGACTTTGTTAAATGGATTTTATACTACCTCTTGGAACTACACACAGTTCTGTATGTGTTCCCTTGGTTGCATGACAGTATTCAAGACAACTTTGTAAATAATAGGCAGATACACTTTTTAATTTTTAACATCTAGTCTTTTCAGATGTACAGAGTCTCACAACGTATAACTTTGTAAATAATTCATAGTAAAATTTCATGGTTATATATTTTTTGAAATGTATTTAAAAAGTGAAATGGATAGAGTGAGTTTCTTGAGCTGTACATATCTGATCTTTGTAGTTGTTAGGTGAAGGTAAAACTAAGAGGGAGTATAACTTTGGTTTTGATTTTTCAACATTTAAGCCATTGTTTAGTGGTTGTGTTATTGTGCCTTTAAAATCTCAAGTTATAATTATGTAGTTGTATTGCTCATAGGGCATTATGTATGTTAATCACAGGAAATGTGTTTTTATAACACATTCTATTCGCCTTTGAATTAACAGTTTTGAATTTCATTGTACTGCATGACCTCAAAATACAGCTTTGTAAATAGCAAGTGTGTGTATATAATTTAAAACATCTGGTTTTTCTAGATGCACAGGGAGTTCCGCAAACATTTTGTAAATACTTCATTGCAACCTATTATAATGGCTTCTGTAATGTTTTGGCAATGGGCTTATATTATGGTGTTCAGTGAGTTTTGGCGGAGGATAGACAAATTGATTCCTTAACTTCCTTTGCTTAGGATCTCATGTCTAAGAAAAGATAAGGTAACAGAATACATCTAGGGTTGTATTTTTATCTTTAGGAAGAAAAAGACATGAGACATGAACTGTAACTTTGTCTTTGTCATACTCAGATACATTCAGTGACATAATCTGAGATGGAAGATACATTGCTCAACTGTTTATTCTATGCTAGATAAGTCTCTTTGCAAGTTCATGTATATGCATAGCCATGTGTATATAAAGTTAGCTTGAGTATAGATCTGAAAATGCTTTCCTTCTCATTAGCTTATTTCCATTTTTTGTTTGAAAATAGTATTTCTAGCTTAAACATTTGTAGAAGCTTGCTTCATGATACTCTAAAACTGTTACTCTTATATAAAATTAAGCAGCTCCATATGCGTTATTTTAATCTCTGCATCTGTATGAGAAGAGAATTTATCCAGTTATGAATATTTCTTCCAATTCTCTGAGACCTTTCTAAAACTATGGTTAATTGTTATATTTGAATGTTATGTGATAAATGTGGAATGTTTTGTATCTCAGTTGCCTGTAATGTACATTGTGAAACTTTCTTGGAAAGGTGGTCCTATCCAGTATTGATCCAAAAGTATAAATCATATCTTTTTAAACAGCAGTTTGGCAATGACAATCAAAATTGAATGTGAAACTTTGGAATAAGTTACTGCTTGGATTTTAACTCTTCCAATTCTCTAATTTACAAAGAAAGAAAGTACATAATAAATTGAGTTTAACAAGGAACAACCGAAATATACGTCAGTAAAAGAAAGTTTGGAATGATTATAGCTTATGTAAGTTGAACATAAATGAAACACACTGTTAAAACATTCTTACATGGAAAGTGTGTCCATATGCCTCTAGATCTTCACCTGCACTGCTAATGACCATGGGCCCTCCTCAGTGCCACTCTGATTGTTTTGGCATTTATTTTGAAATTTTTCTACATGTGCGAGTCAAATAGCAAGGCATTGTTTATTGGTATATTTGTATTGCTACGTGACAATCTAAAATGACATTTATGGAAGAGAAAGTTACCTGGAAGACTGTATGGAGAGATGGAATAGAAAGACTGCTATTACTTTCTGAATAGAACTTTTAATGGTATTTTTAAAGGAACATTTGAATAGCAAGGAATTTAAAGGCACAAACAACTTGTGCTTGACGTTAATCTTGCCTGTCACTATCAGGCATATAGGGCGGTTGTATCTGGCCTCATGTTGCCATTGGCCGCTGTGAATGGTTTTTGAGAAATCAAGAAGAGGATATGACTTGGAGAAAAATGCAGCACTGAGCTGTACAGTGTAATAAGGAGAATCAGTACTCGAGGAAAGAAGTGAGAAGATGAGAAAGAAGAGGTACGTGAGAAACTTACATTTGGGTAGACAGATGAGTGGTGAAAATGGGAATGGTGTATCTTGTGTTAATTTTCATAAGGCAATGTCATATTTGTAGTTAGTGACTAGGTCTCTAGGGCCATGTGGGGCATTACTCTTAAATGACAGTAATTGGAGAAATAATTACTTATTTTTGTCTATCAGAAGTATTACAAGTAGGCCTTTTGGAATGGAGATTATTCGGAATTAGCACAAAACATTTCACTACTGTTTACATTTGTGTCCAAGGTCCTTGAAAAGGAGAGCTTTGGGCAATCATATGTGCTGGCATTTAGTTATCTACGTTCAGTGTTTCTGATCATTGTAAAGTTACTGTAATTTCTGTCCTGGTATCTCATTTGAATCTTAACTGGGCAATACCATATACTTTGCAGATGAAGGTGATGGAATAACAATGTGTTTGCAGAGTGAGGAGAGATGACATTCAGTTCATTGGTCTTTTTGTGGAGTCCTTCCTCAGGCGGACCTGAAACCCAGGTGAGAAGGGTCTGCATCAGAAGTGCTGTTTGAGCCTCAGGAAAGGGTCACTGCTGTCCTGTGCAACTTGGGACTTTTCAACCATATCTAAGAATTAGTGAGGGAAACACCATCCTGGTGATGGCATCAGGTTGCTTGTGCTTCTGACCAGTTTTCATTTCCCCACTGTCCTTGCAGGAGATGATGAATAGGATCATGCCATTGCTTCTGCCACCATCTTAAAAACCTAAAGACAGTCTACTTCATGTGGGGAGACTCCTTCCGTGCTTGCCATGGGCACTCCCTGCAGATAAGAAACACAGGACTGAGAAAGCTCATGTTTGAAGGTGACCTACAGGGAGACATGGAGAGAATTGTATGCAGGCATGAATTCCAGGCAATGGAGTGATGGAGACATAAATACCGAGAAGCCTAGGAGAGCCATTGCAAGGCCGCCTTCCAGGGCTCCCCTGAGTAGTACTAAGTGCTTATATTTCTACTTTTACTTATAGGAAAATAATTAAATATGTTCATTAAAAATCATATTCTTGAAATTTTAGAGGACGTAGGAATTTGTTACATATAGTTATTACTTTATGTGACTTTGTTTTCCTTTAATGTGACCCCTCCCCATTGTTATATACTGTCTCTCTTTTTCCATTACAGTTTACATTCAGCATTATTTTGTATTAGTTTCAGGTATACTACATAGTGGTTAGACAATCCTCTACTTTACAAAGTGTCCCCCCAATGTTTCCAGTGCCCACCTGGCACCAAACATAGTCATGACAGGATTATTGACCATATTCCTTATGCTGTAATCTACTAGTAATAGATTTTGTGCACATCCTTTTGGTTTGATAGGTAGTGTTTTGGCCCCATATGTTGGCTACATATTTTCTCTGCATTATGCATGCTTACATAAAACACATTTTTAATTTCTTCAATTGATTTGGAATTGCTAGGGTGAAGGAATTAAGAATTTATATTTTAAGTCAAATTTAGATTCCTCCCTATTTGTAGATGCTCATCAATCTCTCCCAGTGTTCTTTCCTGAGACTTAAGCCGGACAACACTGCTCAAAACTGAAAGACTTTGCATGTCAGTGTTTTTATTCTTGCCACTGTGATGTTAAGAGAAATTACTTTTCTGCTCCTGTTCAGCTCAATCATGTATTCTTAATCTTAGTCCTCATTTGTATTTCATTTTCCTCTTTCCAGTTCCCTTGGATTATAGTGCCTCTGTTACTGGTTTTTAAGAGCTGTTAACCATTTCTCATGTTTTTTTTTTTTTTTTTTGTATTATTTTACTGTGGTGTTTTTATTTTTTGGTTGTACCAAAGTTGTGTATTAAATATACTCGTGTTCTGTTTTATGCCTTTTGTGTTTGTGGTTTTCTTTAAAAACATGTTTACAATATTATATCTTAACTTTTTGTCTGTATTTCCTACTTTATATCAATTTTGTCATTTTATTTTTACATTTTACATAAATCATGGCTACAGTTATGAAGCATTACATACACAAATTACTCACCTTGACCTAAGCAGTTAACCTCTTATTTTCAATTCTGCTCTATCCTATAGAAATTCCAACCTTCTATTGGCCAATGTTCTGTGTTTCTTCTATTTCTGATGCTTGTTCGTCTATTGAGTTCTTCTCATTCTCTTCTCTTTCAGAGCATCCCTGTCTGTACTCACACTTTTTCTCTCAGTTGATGCTTACAATTATTTTGCAAGTTGGAAAAAATTTTATTTCATTTGCACCAAATTTATTAGATTAAATAGACAATAAATCTCTTTAAAAGTGAGCCTTCTTGTACCACTACAGGTATGTCTTTCAATTTCTAATCAAATTATGTTGCTATACAGCTACTGTAGAATTCCTAATTTCCATCATAATTTTATAGAGAGGATTGTACAACTCATTATAGAGTACATAAAATACCTTTATAAACTATACCAACACAGAAGTTGAAATCAAGTGCAAGAAGCACACCTCAGGTTTGTAAATGGGTTAGAGATGCTAAGTAAGTGCATTGTCTTCAATGTGAAGAGCTCTAATTATTATGGGATAAGTATAAACTATAGAGCTGTTAATCTTACTGAAGATTACTATTTTTCACTTCATGTAAAATATTCCAATGATTTCATATATCCCAAATCAGATCTTCCATCTAAGCATAATCATGCAACTTGCTGAAAAATATAAAATGTAATTTGTGTATCACAATGGAATACCCAGCACCAGCTATGAAATACGTTTATTTTGGTGTGTGCCCCTATCAGGAACCGAATCCGGAACGCTGGTCCACAGGCCGACCCTCTAGCCACTGAACCAAATTGTCCAGGGCAAACTATTTGTTTGAATGAGCACTTTATTTGAGAATAATGCATCCTCAAATGAGAATACTGCATTTTGTTTCATTTGTTAATTTGTGGTTCTCTGCAAACGACCTTGCATGGGGGGGGGGGGGGGCTCTTTGCCCTTTATTTTTAAATTTGTATTTGTTAAAGATTTTTCTCCTTTTTCCCCCTAGATACCCTCTGCTCTATTTGCCCTTTAAAAATTACATTTCTTTCGCTTGGCATCGTAGATGGCACCCCTGTGGTAGTTTTCCACAATTTCCAATTGCATTTCATCATAGATTTACTTCCATCATGTGTGTATATTTAGACTGAATCATTTAATTATGAAAGGTTTTCACTGAAAATCATGTCATTGTTCAGATAGTTGCCTACGTGGTCAAAAGGAGGGTAAAATTATTCATACTCAATTTTTTCATCTATATAAAACTTTCCTCAACTATCTTGAATGTTTAATTAAAAAGAATATATAGGATGAATGCTCATTTACCATTATCAGTTGCAGAATAATTTGGCTCTAGCTTCCCAAAGGTGGTTAATACAAATTCATATATTGTAGTCTAAAAATAGAACTACAAAGATTATTTTGCTGCTAGAACAGCATTGCAATTATGAAAATAACAGAATTTTTTCTTAGAGGGTATTTCCCTTTTGATTTTATATTTTTTTAGAGAGTGGGAGGTAGGGGGAGAGAGAAACATCTATGTGAGATGCACTGGTTGCTTCATGCAAGACCCACCCAGTGCCAGGGATCTAACCCACAATCCAGAATGTGCCCTTGGCCAGGATAGAATTTGAGACCCTTTGTTCCTGGGGCTGAGGCCTGAATCATTGAGCCAAACTAGGCAACACAGCATTTGTATGGTTTCTATTTCCCTTTTATGTACCCTTTTATTAACTTTGTTTCCCTTTTGAAATTGTTTCATTGAATTTTCACTTGTTAACTTGACTCTTCACTGCTTTGTTTTAGCAAGATGCAACTTGTTTGTGCTAATTTGCTTATATCTTTAAAAACAACAGTAGTTTTTCTCAAAGAGTTCCTAAGTATTAAGGGAATTACTGTATGCAAACCGCCAAAGAAAGGGCCTGCGCATCATGGCTTTTTTTCTGGTTGTAGTAAGGAGTACTGGTGGTAATTTATGCAGTACACAGAGTAGGCTATTCAGGTGCAATATAGGACATTGTATAGATTAGGAATGGAAGAAGAGGTGGGTATGGATTCCAAAAGTTAAACGTTAGACCATTGTATAGAAGAATGTGGTGCTGTGGAAAACCCAGAAGTTGATAATTGCATGAGAAAATAGTTATTTGCCCAATCAAGTTATCTGCAATCATGGGGGAAAAACAGACAATTGGAGAAGGATACAGTTTGATTGATTCATTGTATACAGCACAAGTAATTTGAAGTGATAGGTACACAGCCAAGGTACATTGAACCCATCAGCTCTCAAGTGAGCAGTCATTCCAGATGTTTGATGGGATCTAGCACAATCATGGTGGGAGTGTACAATGGAAAACTTTGGATTGAAATTTATGATCTAGTGGATTTACTTAATCTGCAGGAAGTCCAGAGCTCATATTATGCAGCCTTATAAAGAACTGATGAATGTGACAAGTTTTGAGTTATGAGTAGAAACATGGTTGGGTTGGGATATTGGAAGTGAAGACAGCAAAATGGTGTTTACAATGCTTTTTTTCCCCCATCATAACTAGGATAATTTGTGGTTTCCATGGTAGCTGTTGACACTACAAGGATTTGTCAAATAGCACAATAGATGAGGGACATAGTTGTGGAATGGAGTAAGAAGTAAGAAAGACCAGTTGTGTTTTATTTTAGATCGGCTTTCAAGGTACTAATGATTTGATCAGTATCACGGAGAAACAAATAGCCATTCCTGTAATATTGCCTAATTATAAAGCTACTTTTTCTTTTTTGGCACTGCCGGTAGTGAGTGGATGGACAATCTGTCTCTAGCAGGCCTTTGTTAATTTACAAAATTAATCCTGAGCTCTTCTCTGCTTTTGTTTTTTTCACAGAATGGTTTGATGAGGTAACTGTTGAAGGATTTGTTCAGTACTGGAATTCATCATGGAGATATGTGAGATTGTATGTGATTTTCAAGTAAGACATTAGATAGTCATTAGTTCAGGGCTCAGGCTGAAAAATTATTGAAAGGCATACATGATTTAGAAAATGGATGCAAGAATCTTCCTTTATTGAATTTAGGGTACAACAACTGATGAATTGGTGAAACTAGACTATACCTGAGTGGGCCACTGGATGCAAGGAAAAATAATGTTTTGAGAAAGTGTTGATGTATGGATCGAGGGAGTCAATATCAAATGAAGATGGAGTTGGTTCGAGAGTGGATTATATAATGGGAGGTTGGATCCATGAATCTTGTCCAGATAGGATTTACGTGAGTTTAGATTGATAGATGGCTGGCCAGAGTAATGAGTGAATGTAGGGAGTGGTGCACAGATGAATGAATCACCTGAGTGATAGCATTGCTGATGGTCTTCAAGTGGCTTGACAGGTAGGTGGTTTGATGTATAGTTTGATATATGAATGGTGCAAGAATTTCATCGGGAAAAGAGGCACAATAGTAAAGTTGAATGGAAAGATAGACTATTGCGGGATATCGGCTAATTTGCCATTATTTATAAAATTAGAAAGGTTTGGTGATTGGGTCTCAGATTATTGTGATAAGAAAAACAAAAGAAATCAAAACTAACTGAAGTGAAATCTCAGTAGATTGATAATGATTTTTTAAAATACATTTATAATTTGGGGACTTTTAGGAGGTTGATCAAACAGTGAACTTCACTTTGTGTTTTATGTTAGTCATGTACGTATCACATTTTCCCATATTTTCCACAGTTGTTAACTGAAGTGTTCCCAGTTTGAGAAGTGAGACATCTTAGATGCTGACATTTCTAGATCAATGCAAATTCTAGTTCTTATTGATAATTTCTTTGGACTTGATCTTCAAAAATGCTGGTAAGAATCGGTAATACTTGTTTACTGTTTATTTGTTGACCAGTTTGATGTAGAATACAATTTTGTTTGTAATATTTTAAAATCTAAAACCATATATGTGAATTTAGTAGACTATAAGATGGTCAAAATGTAGTGTGATTGCCAATTAGATACCATAAAAAGTATCTCTTAGATTCTGATGTAATATTGATACATAGATTATGTAGATTTTGGTGTGCTACCCTTACCTCCTCAACATAGAATGTGATATTATCTAGACAGAGACTAGAATCTCTACACTCAATCAACTTTATTTTTATTAAAATTTTTTTCTTTTTTGATTTTTAGAGAGAAAGGAAGTGAGAGAAACATCGATGAGAAAAAATATTGATCGGC